TTTCACTTAAAAAATTCAAATTTAAAATGAAAAAAAAGAAGAAAGATTCAAATTAAGACAAACAAGTTTTTTTTTTAAATCAAATACAAATTAAATATATGAAAAAGCAAATAAGAATTTAATTATTAAAATTTAATTTATATTTAACATAAATATTCCAATTCTTAACAATTTACATTTTGTAATTTTTTTTTTTTATGTTAAAAAATACTAATTAAATTGTAAATTTTGTAAATTAGAAATTATTAATCAAATTTTTATTTTCATTTGATAAATTTATTAGCTATTCTATAATATTTTATTTTGTTTTATTTCGTTTTTTTTTTCTTCTGTAAATAAATTAAAGGGTTGAATTTTTTTTTTTGGTAGAAAATATTTCGATGAAATAATTATTGAATTGTACCATTCCCTAACATCGTTTCTTATAAAAATAATATTTATTCCTGTATTAACTAACAAATAACAGATGTTTGTTTACCTTTTAAAAAAAAAATAAACTGAAAAAAAAAAAAAAAAAACATATTTCTTTACATATCTAAATCTCATCGTTAATTCATAACAATTTACAGTTCAATCTTTTTTTTAAAACAAATTTTATGCTATTTCACCTATATTAGCTTTTCCACTTTCCTTAATCATTCAATCGGCATCTTTCTTCTTTTGCATTAAGTAAAAAAAAAGAAGAAAGTTTGCTAACTTTTTCCAATTTTCCCTTTTTCCACCCCCTCTCCCTCTCTCTCTCTCTCTCTCCCTCTCTCTCTCTCTCTTTCTCTCTCTCTCATTCTGAGCTTTTTTTGTTCGCTCGCATCAATACATTTCTGTACAGCAATTCATATCGAATTGATACCTTTTCATCATCAATTTCTATTTGTTGCATTGATTTATGTCTTTTCCTCCTTTTTTTTTTTTTTTTTTAATTTTTCATTTCTATTCAGTTCAATTCAATTGCATTCATTTCTATTTAGTTCAATTCCATTCTATTCTGTTCAATGTCATTCTCTTCCATCCACTATCATAAGTCTCACTTATTCTCTTTCATTTTGTTATATTCTGTTCCTATTCTATATTTTTTTTCAGTTCATCTCACATATAATATCATGTCACGTTAACCGGAACGGTCAAATAATATGTTACATTAATATCGTCAACGGAACGGTCGAATTAGTCTATGTCATATGCAATATCATGTCACATTAACCGGCACGGTCAAATAGTCTATGTCAAATGTTATAACATGTTACATTAACCGGAACGATCGAAATAATCTATGTTGTATTAATATCGTTATCCGGAACGATCGAAATAGTCTATGTCACATGTAATACATTGTCACGTTAACCGGAGCGATTGAAGTAGTCCATTTCACTTTCTGGATCGGAATAATCCATTTCAGATGTAATATCATGTCACGTTAACCGGAACGATCGAAATAGCGTCACATGTAATATCATATCATATCATCCGGAATAATCGGAATATCCATTCCTGTATGATATAGCTGAAGTGATGGCAAATATCATATAAAACAGTCATTCGTATTTCGCTGTGACAAATTTATAAAATTTATCCATTTGTTATAACTTTCTTCATCACAATTTTTGCTTGCTGTTCCAATATGAACAAAATTTTTATTCTTACAAATTCTTATTAAATTAGTAATTTTACTACACAAATAAAAATGAAGAATGAAAGTATATGCATTTACAAAAATTAAAAAATGGATTATATACTTGTGTAAATTTCTTAAACTTATCACTCGAATTAACAAATTATTTGATAATTAAAAAAGAAACTTTAAAGAAAAAAAAGAATTAATTGTCAACGCTTATTTTTGAAATAAAAAAAATTATTTGAAAAAATTAAATTTTTATCATAGAAAATTTTAGTCAATTCAAAAAAATAATTTTTGAATTTATTAACTTTTTGTCGTTTTCTTCTTTGCTTTTTGATGAATTCATAACAAATTCGGCAATAGCAGAAAAGAAGGAAGACAAAAAACAAAAGTGACTATTCGGGATAAAATATTTTCACTTTGGTGACAAACCGTTACTACCGTGTAGACTTATGCCCTAAATTGGGTTGATTTGTATGACGTGACCCGGTGACCCCTTAGATGGTATTAAGTGTTAAAAATTTAGATTTTATATCTACAGTGATTGGGTTGCAGGTAGTTTTCATTTTTCGTTTAATTCATTTAATTTAATTTACATTTTTTAATGGTTTTTCTAAATGATCAAATTATTTTACATCCATTATGCTAATTTCAAATTTCTATTTATTATTTTTTTTTTTAAAATTTTTTTCTCGTTAATTTAAAATGCATTAAATATTATTCTCATTTAATTTCAAATTGTTAATCAAAAGTTTACGATTAATTTCAAATTTCATAAATTTCATAAATTTTTTCGATTAAAAATGTAAAATTTGGTTCATTTTCAATTTTAATTTAATTCGACATAATATTATCAAAATTATTTTCTTCTTGTCTTATATAAATAATCACCCTGTTTATTTCATTTGATAATTCATTGTTTACAAATTATTCATTCAATTTCCGTATTATTGTTTACTTAACACCTCATCTTTTTGTTTACTTGTTTATTCGTCTGCTAGACTGAAAATTTTTGGTGTTCGTTAGATTATTAATAATATGAATATTATTGGCGACAAGTTTAATTGAGCACAAATAAATTGATTCATATTTTTATAAATCAATTTAATATAAGAATCAATTATTCAATAAAATTTCTTTTCTTTTTTTTTTTTTAACAATTTTTCTTTTCTCATATATTCTTTTGCTTACCTGATTGTTATTTCTTCATTTATTGGCTTGGTTTTTAGTCAACCTCCGCCTTTTCTCGTCATCCCATATTTACATCGATAATATTTTCTATCATCATCTTTGCCTAACTGATATTTCATACCATTCATTCATTCATTCATTCATTCATTCATGACCTTCATTTAGTCAAATACTTAACATTTTGTTGTTGTAAAGATTGTTCAAAAAATTTTTTATTACTTCGTTTTTCCTCTTTTTTTTTCTCCATAAAATTTGTTATAGTGTTCTAATTTTTCTAAATTTTACAAATAACAATCTAGTTTGATCAATCCAATCATTTTTTTCTATTTTAATTTTACTTTGAAATTTTCTTTCTCTACCATGGTATTAGAGTGATACACATTTTTGCAATTTTCTTGATATAAAAGTCAATTGTGGAATATCTTAAATTTATTTAATTAACTAATTAATCAGCTTTTTTTTTTATAGGCTATTCGAAGCTTTGATATATATATAACTTTTAAAAACTTTAAAAGTAAATTGTTTAGAATATGAGAATTATTCAAATGTATACAATTAGTTCGGTAGCTGATATATAACACATAGTAAATATTTAATACTTAATATTTATTAAAATAGAAGTATTTGTAATACTTTTTAACTACACAAAGAGATGATTTAGTTGTGGTAACTATATTATTTGACATAAATGTTTAAAGTGCTTTGTAAACATCGAATTAATTTGGATGTAAGCGAGTAAAATATTACTAGAAAAATTAGAAAGAGTAGAGAGAAAGATTAATATTATCAGTACAGGGATTATTTTATTATTGATAATAGAAGAATTTTATCTTCTTTTAAAAATTAATTCTGAATAAAATATGTTTTTCTTTTTTTTTTTTTTTTTAATTTTCTTGCAAATATTTTTTGTTCATATTTGAATAATTTGAATTCATCTCTGTACGGATAGTATTTGTTAGTTATAGTACGAATAATTGTTAGTTATAGTAGGAATATACGCGCATCACTTATTTCAATCAAAGCTATTATTATTACTTTTTCTTTTTCTTCTTCTTCCATTATTTTCTTTTATCATATTGAAAATTTCAGATGAACTACGGATGAAACCGCTCAATAAATATTTCTCTGATGCTATTAGCGTATTTCCAAGTTTAGAAGTGCATAAATTTTTTCAAATTCATGGTATGAATTATGTGACCATTGTTGTGACAAATTAGAAACAAAAATTCATGATATTATTTATTAGACGAAAGATATCACTGCCATATTGAAACAAGAATAATAATGAATTTAAAATAATAAATAAAGATTAATCTTGAATAAGTAACATGGTATCATGTTAATAATCGTATATACTCGAGTTAGTATACTAAGCTTTTGAGTATATATTTAAAAGTCACGGAAAGAAGCATGAAGCCTTATTTCGATCAGGACGAGAAAAGTGAAAAAAATAGTAGTTATTGATGTATAATAATGAATTTAAACAATAGTGATGATTTTGAGTCAAAATTAAAAGTGAAATTAGGCATTATTGCTAAATACAAATGATTATTTTAGCTAAATTGATATATTGTTTGATTAGGTTGGATAAAATGGATGATGAAAAGAAAAGAAATTTTTTTTTAATTTAGTATTCTAATTTAATATTACAACCATTGATTGACAGGTATATCATTCACATAGCCTGAAAAATGTTTTTGAGGAATTTAAATTAAAAGTTGAAATCAACAAGATGCTTTTCAGCCTCTAACTTAAATGTAAAATGAGTATTGCAGGACTGTGCAAAAGCAATCCAAATGGTAAGCCTGTTATTGAATTACGAATCTCATCGGAGGTTCCTTTCGATCTCTTGCCTTCACTGATTTTTTCAACTTATTCTCTTTATACCAGGCTAGTTCTTTTTTTTTTTTTTTTTATAAGAGATTATAAACTAAATGAAAAATTTGGATTTGACTATTTAATGAAGGATTAGAGGATTATTTTAATAGTTTATGCAAACTGTAATTTGTACAAAAGTGTTTTATAAAAATTCGTATACCGTTCACTTAATAACTATTATTGACTTTTTATTTTCGAAATATTAATTTTTTTTTTCCTAATATAATGGAAAATACTAATTGGAATAATTTATGGATTCGGAAATTTTTTTTTTCCTGCAGATGTTCGGATAAAAAACATACGTTGTACATAATCATCGATGTTCGTAATTGCTCCGAGGAATGCCTTCATACTTTTCTTCAAACATTGCGACAATCAGCCGTATGTTTCTGTTTAAATTAATACATTTCGATGATTAAGTTTTTAGCAATTTAGTGAGATTCTATAACTCATTGAATGTTAAGAAAAGTGTTGATAGTCTAGGTTACTGATCGATTTTCAGGTACGCAATGTATATTCATGAAATTTTCAAAAAGAAAAGAAATATTATTGTTGAACTTGAAGTGATTAAAATTGCTAAATTGATTTAAGTGTATTTTTTTCTTTTTTTTTTTCAGTCATGGCTTGAAGGTACGATTGACTGCATATTATGGGTTATCGGGTCCTCTTTGCCTAATATAGAAACTATCATCAATGAAGATCTCATTTTATCACGAGCTAAAGTTAGCATTTCCTAAGATTTTATGAATATGTATTTAAGTATGCATTGTTTTTCAAAAAATATTTATCTAAAAAAGAACTGTAACACCTTAATCTATAAACGGTGTAATCTTGTAAAAAATGACGTATCAAATTTACTTTGCAGAATATCGTGGCCGATATTGAGGGTATTACAAAATATATTGAAGCGGGCAGTTTTTCAACATATTTAAATGGTTTAATCGATCCCGAGATTACGCGACATTTTCTTCAAATGCGATTCGTTAGTTTCGTTGTGTTCGAGTGAAAGTTTATGTGGAACGAAAATATAGAATCTTTGGGAAAGAAATAATAAGTATTGCCGTCGAATCGTTCACTATAGCTTAGCTATTGATAGTGTGATAATACTGCCGGCAGCCATTAATTATTTCGTTTGAATCATCGACTGTTTAAGGCAAAATATGAGATTCGTTTTACACTGAAGCTTTTTTAATCTTTTCTTTATTATCATTATTATCATTTATTGTCATCAGCGGTTGCCTACTAAACTTCATAATGTTGTAGTCAAACATTTGATATCAACGAAAAAAATTAATTATATTTTCTTCAGTGCAGTTCGTTTTTCGTATTCATATGACAGCAGATATATTGTACATTGAATTTTTTTTTTTTTTTTTTCAATATTTGTATAACTTATTTGCTTTCATTGTTTATTCATCAGTGAATTCTATTGCAGTGTGTGGAAGATTTGTTGAAAAAAACACACAAAACAGCAAAACTGTATATGAGTTTACATGAATATCTAAAGCAGTTTGAAGTGCCGCAAGACCTTACAATCGCTAATGCTGATTTATTGCGAGAACAATCTGAAGAGTATGTTTTTTTTTTGGGTTTTTTTTTTTTTTTTTTACATTTACAAGTTTTATTATAGTCACGCTTTTTATTCTTTTATTGAGATCACAGGTGTTTGAAGTCTTGATTTCGGCAAACTTTGTTTTACTTTTTTTTTCTAACGTTTAAAAGCGAAAATTAAATGAAATGTGAAAAATCATCGAAATAAGCTAGAAATTCAAAATTAAATTTGCTTATAACTGCAAAGAAAGTTAACTAAATAGCTTTTACACTTCTTTTAATCAAGTATTTATATGTATCATTCATAGTGCTATAATATTTTCTATATTCTGTTTATGTTTTCAATCAGTTATTATTTTACCACCAAATATTTTAACGTTTTTGAAACACATTAGATTATATCTAATGCTGTTTGATTACATTCGAGATAGTGAAAAGTCCTTTTTTAACCTATAACGATAAGTGAATTTTTTTTTTTTTTTTTTAGAGAAAAAAGTGATAGAATACTGTATAATGCTTCTATCATTCCAAAAAAAAAAAAAAGGAATATTTAAAAAGTCGTCGATAATAGGCATTATTTATTGGTACAGTATTTTGCTGAGAACTGTTATATTTTTCATATTATATTTTCATATTGAATTGAGGATCTTTTTTCTTTTTTCTTTTTTTTTTTTTTTTTTTTTTGATTGACAGAACTAATCTGTTTGTTTTGCTGTGCAAATCTTATACTTTTACACCTTTACAGATTAAAGAATCGATGGAATGCTGTGAAAGATGAACCAGATGTGATATTTTTGTTGCATCGTGGCGAAATACTGTGCGAAGAACTAAAAACACAATATAGCAATCTTCACCATCTTGATTCTTACCTCTTCGCGTATGTTTTATTTTATTACTTCGAAAACTCTTAGATTGTTATTCTTCTTATGAATACTGTTAGAGATTTTTATTGCGAATATGACATCGATTATAATTTTCAAACATGAATCATGATTACTATTTTACAATGTATATGTTCTCTTCTATCTTTTTTTTTTTCGTTTATTTTTTTATTTCTTTTTTCTTATTCATTTATATTTAGTTTATTTCTTTTTGTCCCTATGGCGATCAAACAGTTTAAGTTATTATTTAGCTATTCTTATAATTTAGAATTTAAATTCAAAAATGCACATCTATGGATGTTGTTAATGTCCATAAATTTTTACAATATCTTTTCGTTTCTGTCTTTAGAAATCAATTTTGTATTTTATTTCACCTTGAAAATTGTTTATTAAGCTGATAACTTTAATCAGAAGTGTCTTGTTACGTATACAAGTAGGACTTCTGATTAAATACCAACAAATTAATTAAAGTAAATCATAATAATTCATTTTGTTTATTTAAAATAGCTTTTTATTTTTTTACTATTTGTATGTTTGCAATTAACCTTAGATTTTTTAAAATTAATTAAACATTTTCCGTGATTTTCACTTTACAGAACTGAATATCAGATCATATCTCTTCATCAAAATTCTTAGATTTTACTAGAAATTTTTTCGATTCCATAACTAGAAAGTTTAATCTATCAAATGTTTTGTCGAAGAGTTTTTTTTTTTTATCAGCATAATGTAATTAGCATAAATGTGTCAGTGATAAATGTCCCTTTTTCTAATAACGTTGATTATATATTCGTATAATCATATAAGTTTCTGATGTTCTGATTTTTACATTTTACTCTAGCTTTCACTCATTTTTTTCATCTTTTTTTTTACAGTGATGCAGTAAATCGTGCTGTATCAGGATTCGAAGAAGTTAAAGTTGTAATGCAGCGAAGTAGTTCAAGCATATCAAAACGTCTATACGCTCTTAAATGTTCAGCAGAAGCAGTTGAATTTTTGAAATATGTTCCACAGGTTTAGTTTTTCTTTACGATTAAATGCTCTTTTTCAGGTTTTTGAAATTATATTTTGTGCAGATCGTTTTCTTCCGAAGTTTTGTAATTTTTGATTGTAGCTTTTTATTTTATTTTTCTTTATTTTTTTTTAAATAATTTCTTTGTAGTTGATGGAATTTATCAATAATGAAATAGATGATTTGGAACAGCTAAAAGTAATCAAGATATTCAGTGTTGTAAGATTGACATCTCAGGTTGGTTCTAATAATATTCAATCATTTAATCATAATTTTAGTAATGCATTTCTTAGTTCTTTTCTTTCCTGTTCTTTTTTCTTTTTCTTTTCTCCTGATTCAGTTATTTCGTGTCAAATTAAAAACTCATTCATATAATTTTTGTTTATATATTGTTTATTTTAGATTAAGCAAGTGGATAGTAAAACCACAGAATTGACAAGATACTTAGATGAAGCTGATAGCCGTCTGAAAGAAGTGGCGCATTTGCCAGAGGAAGGCTCATTTGGAAATGTAGACCGGAAAAGAATCACTGATATGTTCGATTCATTCAGTTCCTTTCTAGTATCTTGTAAACAGCGTGTTATGGAAGTACGGCCTATTGTTCAAGCTGCACTTGATTCCCGTATTCACATTGATCAGGTGTTTAATTTCAATTTTTATTTTACATCTTTTATTTTTAGAAATTTTATTTCTAGAAGTATTTGATTTTTGTCTGGATTTAGTTTTTGTGAAGTTTTAATTGATATTATGGTAGTCTTTTTTCGTTTAATTTTAATTCAGTTCGCTATTCTGATTTCCTGCCACTATGAGGAAATTAAGAACTTTCATTGATACGATGATATTACTTATAAATTTAGGTGTATAATTGGGCTTTGCTTCACGCTAAAAGAAGTGATAATGAAAAGGAGAAAGAAATGTTAGTTTCGAAATATCCGTCTACTGCTATTGCTCGTCTTCATGAGTATGTCGCTGTTAGTTCGACTGATTGCACAGTAAGTTCTGATTGTAAATTATTTGCTATTGTTAGGTTTTCAGATTTGGAATAGTTATATTTCTTATATTTTATTTGCCGTAATGTAACGTGTAATAGATGAATATTTCATATTTCATAGCTGAGCGCAAATTGTCCAAATCAATTATTTGGTGAAATTTGTTTGTACCATTTAATTTTTTTTTTCTCTTTTTCGTAAATAAGAAATATTGATTTCATTGTTAGGTTCGACAGGAAATAGAAAAATTACTTTCGGATTGCGAAAAAGCCATTATGGGTTTGGATCCTACACTCAAGATTTGCGATTTACGTTGCCAAATGAGCGCTAGCTCAAGTCAAGAAAGTGGTGATGGTACTGCGAGTCAGGAAGTTGGCGCTGTTGATTCATGCTTTAGTGGAGAAGCTGATTGTTCAATCATTGATTTATCGTTACCAAAAAGTCGTTGCTCTGATTTATCAGATTCAGTGTCTGATACACCAATGGAGGTATATTCGGATGTGGAAGAAAGTTTTACTGTTGATTTGCGGAATGATTTGAATGCAACTGAACATTCTCGGCAACAGACAAGCCCAGCTCCAACTCAGTATGAAATTCCAATTTCAAAAGCAACTACTTCAACAGAACATCAGCAGCCGGTTATTGTTTTTACATTTTTCTTTTTTCTTTTTGCTTTTCATATATTTCTCTATATTTTCTTTCCATAACTATTTATTAGTCTAGTTATTCACATTATCCCTTCCTTTCTTTTTTTGATTAAAAATTGATTTTGCATATTTGTGGTATGCACAGATTGAGTGTTCTAAAAGTTGTATTTTAATTACGAAATAACTGATTTTCTGATATATAATATAAAAGCAGATGTAGATGTATGCATATATTTATTTTTAAACATTGGTTTCTTTGAACATATATTTTATAAGACAAAATTTCTTAATATTTTTTTTTTCTATTTTAGGGATTAACAGAATTGGAAGAAGTTCGATGGCGTCGCAATTCATGGGCACCATCGGTACATACCGGTCCATTGGAAATCATTGAGGAATCCGCAATTGGAGCTGCACCTGTAACCCTTAATATGACTAATAAAGTATACTTTATATATGAAATAATTTTTTTTTTTTTTCAATGAAGATCAGTTTACCTATTTTCATTTAAAACATATCTGTGATAAGTGAAAAACTGTTGAACTATTGTGATGAATTTAAAAGACACTAAACATTATTTTGATATTTTATATTAGCAATAGTATTGCGTATTTTTAATATTTCAACTTGTTGCACTTATTTTAGGTGATTACATCGATGTCAACAAATACATTGCACAAAAGATTGGATCAACGTCGTTCTGCTAGTACTGTTCCATTACGTCTTCCAAATCCATTCCTGATAAACGGAGCTGCTCGTCCCGGATCAGCACGATTTGTGGTATCTCAGAAATCACGGCGTCCATTGATGAGAACTTCTAGTAGTGATTTTTTGGAAGAGGTATTGCTAAATTTTAGGAAAACTTCAAAATATCTCCAGTTTTGCGATGTTTATAACTGTAATAAATGTATTTTATAGGATTGTCGTTCAGCTCTAAGCGCTTTCCAGTTTCTGGACGATGACTGCTGCAGCATAAGTGAATCATCACCTCAACCAACTATCGCATCAGGTTTTATACTTCTATTCTTGATTTGCTTTACTCATTGAAGGATGATAGTTCAATTAAAATACATAGCAATAACTGCGGTTTATATTTCATTATTGGCATATTTTAGCTTTTGTAATGAGCACTCGGCTTTTTATGGAATATTTCTGAATGATTAATTAATGTTTTCTAATATCCTGAATTTTGTGTTTTATAGCATTCTCAGCTTTGGATTTTTCGATGCGTTCCGAACAGATAGATATGATACGAGATTGGCTAAGTCCGGCGAAAACAAGTGATGCGAATTTCAGAATTGAATGTACTGTTGTACGGGATTTGCTGGATTCGGAAATTGATTATGTCAGTGCTTTAAGGCTTGTCGTTCAGGTACGTTTTCTTGCTTGATCTGAAGGTTTTTCTATTTAATTACCAATGTTTTAGGTGAATTTCTAAAATGGATTTGAAAATTTTCATGTTAATTCAATTTTTCACTACCATTGTCAGTTTAGTAAGAAATCCATGCTTTATTTGTAATCTAAGATTTGTTTGAGATTAATGTCAAAATATGAACTTATTGTTGAATAATTGTGTGTTGAATGAATCATATTGGTAGATTATCAGAAATATAATATATGCTATTTTCTTATATCTTCCAGGATTTCTTGCCGGAAATGGCTCGAGTTGATATCCCGAGTGCACTTCGTGGTAAAAAGTCATGTATTTTTGGAAATATCGAGAAACTTTTTCAATTCCATGCTCATTCATTTTTGCCTCAGCTTATTTCACGACTGAGGTAAAAGAAAAATTTTAGCTGTAAAAGTGTTGAATAAATATTGATATATTGTTAATGATAAAATGATATTCTGAAACTTTAGCAAATATTAAATTATAATTTGTTTGTAGATTTCGTTGTGCTGATGAATCAGTTTCAATGACAACTGGGCGATTATTTCTCGATAATCTTAGCTATTTTGAATTGTATGCATTGTATGCAAAAAATAAACCTAAATCTGATCAATTGATGCGTGAAGCTGGGCATAAATTTTTTAGTTCTGTACAGGTTGGTGGGATAATTTTTTTTTGACAAATCATTTGTCAATTTTCGAATACATATTTGGCTTTTTTTTTTTACTAGTTTTAAGAGATTTTATCTTTTGTTGTTCAAAGTATTTCTTTTTACGTGCTTTATTTTTATTTTTATTTCAATGAAAATTTGCAGAGCATGGCTGACTTATCACATTTATTAATTAAACCGATTGAGAGGATAGGAAAATATGCGCTTGCACTTCAGCAACTTCTCAATGCTGCACCACCAAACAAAGTGGTTAGTGGTCACTGTCTTCTTGACAAACATTAAATATTTATATTTCCCTTTCATTGTAGTTCGAGCGTAAAATTTCATCTTTCATTTTTTGCACCTAACCACTCATAATTTTTGTAATGCAGATTTTTAAAGTTTAAATTTAGCTTAACATTTCAATTAACTTTTTTGACTATCAACTTTCAATTCCAGGAAGTTGTAGAGGTATTAGAAAAAGTGGCTATGATAGTTGGGCAGCAAATTCGTCGTGGTACTGATTTATTAGCAATGGAACGAATAAGTAGTTGCGATTTGAATCTCAAGGAGCAAGGAAATTTGTTACGGCATGATACGATGTATGTCACTGAAAAACGTGGTTTGCAATCTAAGAAACGTGTACGAAGCGTATTCCTATTCGAGAATTGTGTTGTCCTTACAAAACCAAAATTATCTCGATCATGGCGAGGAAATACATTTGATGAGCTGAAATATAAAAGTAGTATACAGGTGTTTTAATTTTATCGACATTTTTTCTTTTATTACTCTTTTTGTTATTGAATCAGTTGGTAATCTCTGCTTCATAATTTCTAAATCTCGACTTCTTTCTTGCAATTTATTTTTTGTTGATATATAATTTTAATTAAAGAATAACTAAGGAAAAATTAAAGCCATACAAATTAATTGTTGTCAATTAATGTTAATGAAGGCTAAATAGATTTGAATGAAATTTGAAATCAATATATCTAGTAATCAAATTGAATGGAATTGGTCGAAAGTTTCCTTTCTGACCTTTGTTTTTAATATTTGAATAACAAGTTGTTTATTGGATACCAAGTTTTTCTTTTTTTGTGCTTTCATAAATTTTACCTTATTTTTTCTCTAGTTTCATTAAGATATTGGTTGAAATATTTATCAGTTTTATGATTCTGTAGTGAATTAAATAAAATAAAATTATTTCATTTAAGATGACTGACTGCGGCTTAACAGAAATGGTGAAAGATTCAAAAGTTAAATTTGAATTGTGGTTTCGAAAGCAGAAAAATTCATTCACATATGTAATGGAGGTAAAACTTTGACAATTTTCAGAATTTATTTATTTTCCTAGATTTTTTTTTTCTTATATTTTCGTATGGATCTCTTTTTCATAGTGTTAGATTATTTTACTATGAAAAATGTTAAACTTTTGCAAATATTTTTTTTTGAAATAATATAAGATGCAATTATTTAATTTTATATGTTTTAGTCACAAACAGCAAGTATTCGTGATGCTTGGGTTGAAGATATTCGTAATATTCTTTGGAATCAAGCAATTCGAAGTCGTGAAAAGAATATTCGTGAAAAGGCAAATATGGGCATTGAGTTACATTCCTCGTATATTCATTTAGCACCACGCGCTACGGTTAGTAATATGTGTATATTTGTTGTAGAAATGGGGAATATATATGATAGAGATGATTGAGATGTAGCTTGATAATGAGATATGATGTACTTGATGCCGAATTAAAAAGTTGTTTAAATTCCTTGTTTAAAAAAAGTATTGAAAAATCAAAAAGTTGTTGAAAAAAGCTAAGCTAATTGATCCAGTAAAAATTTTGTTCACATTCGCTAAAGATTGAAGGTCGAGATATTGCCTGATCAGTGAAATTAGTTTATTTGAAATTCCACTTATTTTACTAATGTAGCAACTTAAAAGAAAAAAATTTCGTTGTACTGATATAATTACTTATATATTAGTAATAAATGTTTTTAATTGTTGTTATCAAACAAATGAAGATATATCATAGCTTACTGAATTGTACAAGTTTAACTATCCTGTTCAAAATTCAGGAAATTTTGGACAGGATTTTTTCCATCATTTTTTTTTTTTCTATTACAGCTTAGTGGATTGCGTGATTATGGTTTTGTGGAAGGTACTCGACGACCATGCTCACTAATATCATTAACAGCTTCGTCATGTTCAAGTTCAAATAATTTAGGACGAGTACAAGGTAACACTTATTTACTTTTAGAAATTTCACTTATGTTAGATAAAAATAAATCTTTTTTTTGCAGAATGTGCATTATCAGATCTTATAGATTATTTTATTGTTTCCGTAATTTTTTGGAATTTATTGAGGCATTTAGATTAGATTCTATGACATATCTATGATATGAAGATATCATCCCGTATGGAGGAACAAAGAAAAATAGAGAGTTTTTCTTTTTTTAAATTTTTACACGAGGCAATTAGAGTAATTCTCTGTATAAAATGGCTGAGATTTCCTGTCGAGTATACTTTTGTATTCTGAGAAAATTGGTGTTTTTTTTTTAACAGGAAGGGGTACATGCGAAATTAGCGGTGATCTTTGTCGGGTGGAAGAAGGTGACGAATGGGAAAGTATGCACGAATCCAGTCCAACTGTCAAGTATGCAGAAAGCACACTTCCACGTTTTCGAGCTCCACCACCACCAGATCTGAATCAGTAATAATAAAAGTGTCAACCAATGAATGATTCATCCAAGATAATTGTTTTTCTCATTGGTGCTGTAATTATTTTATCTCCCATATTCTATCCTCTTTTTTCTTTTGTACGCATAGTGATATTATTCCATTGTTTTTGTTATCAAATTCCAGATTGTCATAAGAGATTTAGTCATTCAGACAATCATTCTCAATCTTTTATGCTCTGTGAATGCTATCTACACGCATGACATATGTCACCATCACATATTCAAATTTGCAAAAGATTTATAGTTTTATTGCAGAATCTAATACTGCATAAACTTTAAAAGCCTTTCTCGGACTGATTGCCGTTGAATAAAAGTTATGTCCCTATTACTTTAATTAAATATAATAATATAATAAATTATAGTTCAATTGCAACTTAACGACTGAATCTGTAGGATAACTGAATTCATCAACTTTTTTTATTTCTCTAAATTTACATAATATTGAATGGTGAATAGGAAAGAAAAGATCTACTCACTCCATCTGGTTTACGCAGGTGCTTTACATAATTTCAAGTATCCTTCTATGCTTGCCTTACTGTGCTTAATTGAGCTTTGCTTTCTTCTCGTTCTCTTTTGATGAGCGGTCTATACTTAATGTAAAAGATACTGTAAACAATTCCCTAATTAATAAACAAACATTGATGAATTTCAAAAATGCTAGAGGGTAGTCTTCAACGACTTTATGAAAAATTTATGAAAACATGAAATGCAAGATAACAAACATTCTAGCTTAGGGAGAATAAATTGAATGATGAATTAGTAACTGGTTATGAGCCTCTATTAATAATATGCACTTTAAAAATATTTATTGTCACTGAACGATAATGAAAAAGTTGTATTAAATAAGAATTTCAAATGATGCTATATGTAAGGACACTATCATTTTCTCTCAAAGGGGAAAGTATAGCGTCTTTTTTTGAATAAATTTCAACCTCATGATTTTTCTCTTGTTTACAAGCATTTTTTTTTCAGGTAAATAATAATAGTAATTTATATACAGCGTGGTTTAGAACCAAGATGAATACATAAAATGAGATCACAATAGACATTCGACAAATTGTAGCAGCGTGTGTGAAACATCAGAAATCCATTGAATCCTCTCCATTTTCCCATGCCTACTTCTATACAGTACGTTTCCTCCATCAAATTAAAATCAGCTGATTTCAACAAAAAATGTATTTGCTAAAGTAGATTCAGTCTCGAATACAATTCAAGACTGCCTCAATTCAAAATGTGTAGGATTAAATAGCAACATCCACCAAGTTCTAATTATAAGATGAGAAAATGATGGAGTAAGATTCATCATGTTGGACATGATATAAAGAAAGCCCGTTAATGAAACAGTTGCCGGCATAAACAATAAAAAATTGAATCGAGACTGCCGAGACTGCCCAATCAATAAAAATTTACGAATTTATACAAAATAAGAATATACTTATATCTCTATCAATAACGGCTATGATGATGGAGGAAGTTGAACTTGAAACTGCTGTATGTTGCCTTCCGGTAAATTTAATGCAATCAATTGAATAGGTTGGTTGCCCGTACCTACAGGTAGCTGTATCGGTTGTCCAATTTGAGTAGCTTGTACAACTGAACCTGTTGCTAATGTTCCATCTGAGGATCCAACCTAAATAAAACTATAAAAAGAAGAAAAATTATCAATCTAGAGGAAAAAAAGTAGAAGTAAATTTATATTTCTATCAATTTTATCCAAAACAAATTCCCGTCCGTAAAATTGCGGTAATATGATTTTTACTGGAAAAAATTTTCAACAGAACCACTAGACAAGAACAAAACGAAATTAAATAAGATAAAGAGGAAAAATAACTTTTCAAATACCTGTAAAACATATTGAACATTCCCATTGGTAGACATCACATTGTTAGCATCTGCAACAACTGCTTGTACTTCTTCAGCTTGCTCTTGCTGTAGCATAAAGAAAACATTATTGAAAGAGAAAAAGCTGATTGAATCTCTATCTCTCTAAATCAAAAAATTGCTAATCACAAGTACGAATTTCGAAGATATTCATATAGCTTCAAAGTTTGATTTCATCCGACTTCTAATCAATGTTAGAAATACAATTAGACTATCATAGATTAATAACAAATTCTTGTCAGTAAACTGAGCAAACTAAAATGATATATGATTTTAGTTTAATCATGAGATGAGATACTAAAGTTAAAATCCTTACTAAAAGCTACTGGAGAAAACTTTGTAGTAATTTGTTGCTACCCTTTTTTTCCTTTTTATGATTTCTACCTCATCTTACATATAATTCAAAAAATTGCATCTATTTTAGAATTAATTAAACAAAAGCAATCCATGAATAATAATTCCAATGAAATTGCTGAAAAATCGCAAGTGGAAACCATAGGATATCGATTCAACTATACATATGAGCATGACTAGATAAATCGATAATAATAAATAGATGAGAGCAAAGAAAAAGCAACCCACATGACTGTTAGATTGCAATGGCCATCTCGAATCTTCTCGTGGAACGATGTCAATTAAAAAATCGAACATATCGTTTCTGTAAGCAAAAATATTACCTCATAAACTTAAAAAAATTATCAAAATTAGATTTTCAAAATATATACTTCTAGAACTCTTAAAGTGTGCAAATTCTACACTAGACAATAACATAAAGAAAAGAAAAAGTTACCAAAAAAGAGAAAAAAAAAATCATACCAGAGAAATAGGAAAAAAAGTCATACCTGGCTATAGCCTGAGAAATATCCGACTTTTGCAGTGTTTTTCGCTTATTATCTTCCGTATGTTTCCAAGCATTTAACGTCAATTCTTCAACAAAGATTTCTGATGCTTTTGCTAGTAAAATGGGAGTTTCTGAGCCAATCATCTGAAAAATGTAAAGCAATTGCAAAAGTGAATATGTCATTCACTGATCATAAAATTCTAGCACTTGATTTTCATAGTTATGTGAATATGGTAATAACTGACAAAATGTTAAAATCTTAGTTCACTGTTACAGATAGTCAGAAGCAGAAAAAAGTAATCAAACTTGCCATTCGTTTAACATCATCATCTAACTTCATGATTTTTTTTATTCTCGCCAAGGGTAATTGCAATTCTTGGTGACGGCTTGCTTCACGTAATGTTTTCTGCATTTCAGTAACAACAGAATATATTAAATTTTTGAAGCTATCAGATTCAATATTTTATCTTCATTTTAAAACTATTTAGAAGAGAAAAAAAAACAACAAATAAAATCATTTAGATAATGCATTATCTCCAATAAGTTTTCTCGAGAAGTACTTTTAAATTTCATTAGTATTTTGATAACATAACTTTCAACATAAACATCGCAAAACAAATCTTTAAAAATTGTAAAGCAAACTATGCAAGACTCCTAACAGAGCTAATTTAAATATTAAAAATGAACTAACTGGATCAACTGCCTCGATTTTTGCACGAATACGAGACCAAAATGAAGCAATTTCCTGATCTATATCATAAATTCCACCTTCTCTACTAAACTGTAGTTCATCATTTCCTTCCTCCTGAAAAAAGAAATAAAGAGGAGTGAAATTCAAATGTAGCATCTTAAGATATGATACAATTAAAACAGATATCAATAATACAAATAATTTACCTAATTATTATTCTGCTAACGAAATAAAAAAGAAAAAATGGGTCCTTTGCCCATTAGGCTTACATATTACAAATGACAATAAAAGATTACATTGATATAAATATTAGAAAGAAAAGATTGATAACGGAGCGAAAAAAAAAAAAAACAAAAAACCTGTGAAATGGATCGATCAACCTGAATAAAATGTGTCTTATCATTCTCCATTATTTTTCGTATGAATAATCCACCATTAACAATTTGTTGTTGCTGATGATGTTTGCCATTTATTGTTGTCATTGATGGCAAATAAATGACAACTTCTGAATGCTACTGAAAAAGCATTAAATATTATAAATGAACATTTGATAAAAAAAAAAAAAAACTATCTCTTATCAGTGCAATGAAAACTGAGAAAAGTTGAACAATTATTCATTAGTTAAATCAATCAAGTAAATTTTCAATCAGATCTTTTCAATTAATTAATCAGTTAGACTCTTTTCACTAAAACCTGATACTTTTTCTTCTTTTTTTTTTTAGATTTAAAAATAAGACAGTGCTGTGAAATTAAATGAATTACTTTTGAAAAATAAAGAAAACAATAGCATTAAAAGAAAAAAAAAACAAAAAAATTGGATAAATTATATGGGTAAAATAAAATGGATACAATTTGGGTTAATAAATAAAAACATATGGGAAGTAAGAGAGCGGGTAGTAAGTTACCTGAGATAAACATGATAAGAATGTCGAACGATGTGACGAAAACATCCAATTACTGTCTGTCGTACAATCGTTAGGTCATCAGTCACTAACATCGCATACAGTAATCATATCTTCGTGGTAAGATTTATCGAAAGACATTTATGCTCGTTTAAATTCTCAGAAAGTCTTTTGACACTTAAAAAGTCCTTTAAACTCTCACAAACTCTTTTAAACTCTCAGAAACTCTTTTTGACTCTCAAAAACTCTTTTAAACTCTCAGAAACTCTTTTAAACTTTCAGAAACTCTTTTAAACTCTCAGAAACTCTTTTAAGCTCTCACAAACTCTTTTTGACTCTCAGAAACTCTTTTAAACTCTCACAAACTCTTTTTGACTCTTAGAAACTCTTTTAGACTCTCAGAAACTCTTTTAAACTCTCAGAAACTCTTTTAGACTCTCAGAGACTCCTTTAAACTTTGATTAAAAGATAAATTAATACTATTATTATTTGTTTTGCACCACAAATATGTCATATAATTGGGATATATCGGTATTATCGGGACAATTCTTTTTAATAGTTAACAAACAAAAATAAAACTTATAGAAATTTTTAAAACTATTCAACAAAGTATAAGTTCAAATTTAAACTTTTCAAGCTTTTCAATAAATTCAATGCTTAT